GGCGCTCGAAGTTATCACAAAGGAGAGAGGAGAGAGCCTCAATGCACATTATAAATAAATATGGAGACAACGGACATCCTTAACGGAGTCCTCTTGATGGCTTGAATTTTTGCCCCGAAATGCCATTGACCAGCATTGCCAAGCTAGGAGTGGAGATGCAAGCTAAGATAAGAGAGTAGAAACTATCCTGGAAACCCAATGACTACAAAACCTTCAGGTGGAAGGATCATTCAATCCTATCATAGGCCTTAGAGAGATCCACCTTTAGCATGAAGTACCCTGTTTTTCCCTTCTGTTTCTTCATTGTATGGACAACCTCATGTGTTATTATGGTATTATCAGTTATTTTCCTCCTAGGAGTGAAAACACTTTGAAAAGGAGATATGATCCGAGGGAGAATCTTTTTGAGTCTCAGAGTGATGATTTTGGCAATTATTTTATAAGTTACATTGCAGAGTCCAATGGGTCTAAAATCATTTGCTTCCTCAACACTATCTGATTTTGGATTTAACCAGATTGAAGTTTGGTTTACCTTTGCAATTTGAGAAGGATCTCGGAAACACTCTTGGATAAAATGAGTCAACTCCGGGCCAATGAGGTGCCACAAACATTGATAAACTATAGCCTGAATCCCGTCAGGGCCTAGAGCCTTAGTAGCGCCAATGCTAAAAACAACTTCTTTGGTTTCCTCGACCTCTGAAAGGTGACACAACATGTCATTTTCGTGAGGGGTGATTTTTGGGTTGAGGCCATGAAAATCCGAAAGATTTGGAGTGGAAGAGCAAAATAATTGTTTATAGTAATCTGTTAAGATCTGCCTTCAAGTCCAAAGGCAAATTTGTTCCAGCAAATCCTCGAACACTAGAAGAAAAGATGGTGCAGACGATCAAGTATGTGTTTGGATCTATGAGTGTTTTTTCATATAAATACTTTATTTGCAAAGTGCCACTTTAAACATTTATTGGCTTTTTTGCTTGGTTGGGTGTTTCAAGTAATGTCCCATAAACTAATGCGCCAATTAAGCTTCTAATAAATGTTTTTTCATGTATTATTGTTTGGTGGGGTGTTTCAAGCAATGCCCCAGAATGTAACACTACTGTACTATGTGAGAGCACCATCAAATTCATCCAAGGGTTATGATTGCTTATATATATAGTAGGTGGAATTGAGACCCAATGGTCAATTGTGCATTGAAATCACATCTAATGGTTCATAACATTTGATGGGCACATCTATCCTCTAAAATCCAATAAAACTAAGGTTAAGTACTCTGCAACCCAGTGCAGAATTCTGAATGACAGCCCTCCATAGTCTATTAATAGCCCCCTCCCCTTAAATCGCATTCTACCCATGAATTTGGTATCAATTCACGGTCAGGATTCATCCCCCTGTACGGTGGGGCTACAAAATTCTGACCTGAACAGATAATCAGTCATTCTCCCATAAAACTATACTCAATACATACTTGGTCCACCAAAAATTTTCTAACAAAGGGGAAATGGTATATTAAATGTAAAGAGGTGAGGATCTTATTTTATCCCTAATTGGGTTGCCAATTCATTCTCGGTTCAACCCTTTTAAACTTTAGAATGTGAAATGTCTTCCAAAGTCTACGATTTCTATATATAACGGCCTTACAAAAGGTATCTAAGACTTCAAGAATTCTGAGGGAGACTATTCATCGTGAGAAGATGCCATTTCATGAGTGGGTGGAGTTTTGTTTCCTGGTAGTTTCGACTATGGTATCTATTAGAGATTGGCCTATTTTGGTGTTTTGGTGGCTCTGGGTTTGGTTTGTCAATTGCTTTTATGTTTTGGGGGGTATTTATAAGACTGGTTAGATGAGAGTATATGGTAGATTGTAGACTTTGGCACACGAAACTAGTTTTTTTTTTTATCTGCATCCCTTTTCCTTTTATGTTCTATTGTGAATGGCTACGGTTAAGTGTGGATGGTCTTGTGATGGACACTCTTATTGGGGATATTGCTATGGGAAGGGGTGATGAAGACTCATGAGGGTTTTAATGATTATTAGAGAATAAATATAGATTTTATGAGAGATAATGAAGACATGAAGGTTTTAATTTTGCCTTGTTATATTTGTAATGATTTCATTTAAAAATATATATGCATATGTGCGAAAAATGAGAATAAGAAGAATCACATGTGAGTTCTGTGGTGAGAGTACCCCCTCACCTCCCCTCTTTCTTCCCATATTCAATAGGTAAAGAGTCTCAAAAAACCATTCAATCTAAAAGCTTAAGCTGTTAAGTGAGATCCTTGAATAGGTTTTATTCTCTAACATATCCCCTCACACAAAAGCCCATTGGACTTGAAGTGTGGACAGCACAAGCCCATCCATACCTTGTGTTGAAACTTGAAACTTAATTAATTATGATGGGGTGACAAGAATCGAACACTAGACCACTTGGTGAAAGTGGCTCTGATACCATCTCAAAAAACCATTCATCCTAAAAGGAGTTGAGTGATGTCCTTAGATAGGTTTTATTCTCTAATAAGGAATTGAGTATGATATGGATAAGGAAGTTTTCTGATCTCAACCTCTAGGAATTTTAATTAAGAAGTCAAATATCTCATTTCTATTAATACCTATCGTACACTCCTATTTCCAATATGTTTAATTTATTTATCAAGGTGTTGGCTTTTTTTTTTGGTCTTGCAAATTGTTCCTCAACATCATTTAGAAAGTCTTTGGATTTAGAACACTTGGGGATGAAACCTTGAATGTGCTTTGCTATATTAGTATTCATGTGTATTCAACCTAAATGGTTTGCATGCTCCCATGCCACCTCTTAATAGATAACAAAAACATTGCCAAAAACATGATAAAACCTTTGAACCAGTACCAAATCATTTTATAACTTCATGAAATTTTGTAAAACTATACCCCATACCATTAAAGGCTACGGGAAAAAAATTAGGGTTAAAATGTTTTTTTTTTTGTATTTAGTGTTATGCACCATTAATAATTTCTCCTACTGTTAATTGTGGGATTTGATTCTGCATCAATACTGGAACAAACCAGTTAATACACTAACGAGCCAGCCCTCGGTTGATTGGGTCAAAACAGGTTTAGGAAACCCCTAAATAGGTCAGTCAAATTTTGGGTATCATTGAACCAGGATTCAACTAAATTGGCTTGGTTTGACGAGGCAAATCAGCTTGTTGACCTAAATTGGTCAAAGATGCGATCCAAATTAGTTTGATCAAATTCGAGTTGGTTAGTTTGTATATGTTCAGCCGGGTAAGGTAAGACCACGTCAGAGCGGTCCAAGTAACAGTTCAAGAGCCAAAACCCGTCTTGTTAACTTGGTGAACCCATTGAATTTGACAAGGCGATTCCAGATCGCTCAAGTAGCACCTATTGAATCTCCCACAACTATCGTCTTCTCAGGTGACAGTTAGCACATAACCGAATGAAAGGATATGTGTGTCAATTGGATCGGATTTCGTCCAATCCAGTACAAATGTGAGTCTATTACAAATGAATCAGGTCTAATCCGATCCAATGAATGTTTTGGATCATTTTAGACTGGTTAATGTGAGTCAGATATTGGTTCAATCCAACCTAATCTAATATAAATTCATTATAAATGGACTAGGTCCAATCCAATAAATACTTTAGATAATTAAGTCTGAACTGGTCCAATAAATCAATTTGGACGGATTGGATGGACCAACACAGACCACCCATAACTTGGCTTGGTTATGCAGTCTCCCCAACCCGTCTAGTCATCTATCCAGCAACCGGCGGTGCTTCTTTGATTTATTATTATTATTTTATTTTTGTATCGAACCAACCGAAAAATGGGCTCAGATCTGCTATGCACAAATTGTTTTCCCACATCTCTACCCACTAGTAATTATAGTTTTGCATTGGAAATATCTCCCTTATCATTTATAGGGAGATGTTCCGAGCGGTGATATTCCATGGGTATGGATGTGAGAACAATTTGTGAGTAGCAGATTTAGAGTCAATAAAAAATGATTAAAAATACTTTTGCAACCATTTAATATTCATTAAACTTTGTTTGAAGGATATTTAAGCTGCATTTGGCATTCTTTATTTTAAGGACTTATCTCTTTTTTACAATTAAAATCTGTGTTCATAGGGGCATTTAAACTTTAAAAAGGGGATAAGTCCTTAAAATAAGAAATACCAAATGCAGCCTTAAACTAATTAAATCTCAAGGTATGTGATTACTATCAAAGTTGCAAAACTTGTTACATAATCACATTTTCTGCATGTTAGAATCTGGGGTGGCTCTCCTACCAAATGGTAACAATTGAAAATCAATAAAAACCGCATATAACACACTGATGGGCTCACACTTTGCACTGATTTCAAACAAATAAGAAGAGTGCAAAAACGGTTTAAAATGTAAATCATATTTACATTCATGAACCAAAAACAGGATAAATATGCAATGTACATATTTGTGTTTGCATTGCAACCAAACGCAGCCTAACAGTGAATACCTTACTATTTCTCAAGAGTAAACTTTCATTATTATTTTTTGTTAATTGATGGCTCCAATTGGTTGCAAGTTAAGTGAAGGAAAAGGAAATAAATTTCTCAAAATTGGCATTTTACAGCGTCAGGTTGCAAGTAAAATGGCTGTGAAAAACAGACATTTACCAACATTTGTAGGAAAAAGAAATTTCTTCCAATTTTCCTTGAATTATTTTACGAGCAAAGGATGGTTTCTCTCTAGTCATATATTGCAGCATTCATATTTCTCTACCGTTGTTTTCTAGGGATATGATTCATTTTTTATTTTCCTATTGAATATCATCTTCCAAGAAAATAATTCATTTTCCTTCATTTTACATTTTTACTTGCAACAAAACATTCTTGAGGCATTTTCCTTTGCAAGCGCAGCTTAATTCGGTTCTAATTCGGGCCTAAATTATTGGCCTAGTCAGGCCCACTTGGCTTCCTTACGGAGCCCAACTAATTGAATGGCATAGACTGAAAGACCGCAAGAGAAAAAGATAACCAGAAAAGTTTCAACTGTTTCGGAATTCAGACTCGACTGTGTTGTGTTGTACAGACTACAGTCTACAGAGATGTTGGTTTTGGGTTCTTTGCAGTCTCCTTCTCCCTTTGTTCCAACAAGCTCTTCTTCTTCTTCTTTCAACAAGAGCTTTCTTACAAGGAGAAATTCGATAGTGTTTGCTTCCTCTGTTCTGGCTTCGTTTCTCCATTTGCAACCCAACTCCATTTGCCCATTTCATTTAGCAAGAGCCGAAGATGAATTTCAGCAAGAAGAAGGGCGTTCCGTCCAATTATTCCAGGTCTCTCTCTCTCTCTCTCTCTCTCTCTCTCTCTCTCTCATGTCCTTTGACAGAAGTCTACAGTGTCATTGATTATTAATGACTTTTTATTCGTTTAAAATAATACCCATTTCACTTCCTGCAAATTTATCATTATATTACTATGCTAATTATCATTTTGGTCATCTTCAATGTTTTTTTGCTTACTTTCCAAGTGGAAATAGCTACAGTAGGTTTTTGTTTATTTCTAAGCAGCTTAGTATCAGTATCAGAATTTTCATTTGTTCTGTTATTCTTAAAATATATTTATTAGAAATTTACGATTATCTTGTCTGAGATCATTACTGAGTTGATCTTATGGGGAATTCCTTTATTTCAATAAATTTATTAGGAGAAGAGTTGGATTGCTAAATGTTACTCTTGGATGCAAGATGGAAGGTATTGTGAAGATCACCTTGCATGAATCATTCTTCATGTTGCTTCTATTATAAGCACTAACCCTTGTGGGGGAAAGCCATCTACTTTTTGGTATTCCAGTTAACTTTTCTGGCATTGGTGTCTGTTTCACTTGCCTTTTTATTTATTTATTTTTTTCATAATTGTTCTTGCTTCGCCAATCTGGTTTGTACTTGGATTATGTTATAAGGTTTCATCTGGGCAGTTAGTAGGTCTTATTTCGAACTTCTGTTGATAAAGTGCTCTTGGGGTTGTACGTATATTGGTAAAGATTTAGTCTATTAAAGCATTCTGTCATGAGAGGGAAAATGACCAAGAAAATTAGAATTTTAGAAAGAATCATTATTAGCACATTTTGACTTCTGATAACTATGAGCAAGAAGGTTGAACAACATATGAATTTAATCTCTTACATCTTCTCTTCTCCATCTTAATTTTATTGTTCCATTAATTTATAAATAAACTTAGTATCTTTATATTAATAAGAACACATTCTTTTGGATGAATGCAGGAGACTTCACCTTCTGTGGTCTTCATTAAAGATCTTGAAGTAGTTAAAGATCCCAAGAGGTCCAAGGAGATCATGCTTACTGAGGATGAAAATGCAAAAGTTGAAGGGACAGGTTCCGGCTTCATCTGGGATAAGTTCGGACATATTGTAGGCATTCTTGAAATCAAATATTAGAATTTCATCATAGATTATGATGTTTGGCTTGTCTATCGTGTAAAAGAAAAACATTATCTCAGAATTAGGTATGGGGGATGGATCTTTGATCAAAGCTTACAGTTATTTATAGTTGAATAGAAACCATCTGTGATTTTAGATTTTCAACACCTATAAACTTAGGGTTCGAATATGGCCATGACTTAGGGTTCAAATAAACTTAGATTTTATGTCTAGTTATGTTTATTGATTTTATTGATACCTGTGTGTCAGTTAAGACATCCTTATCGCATCCATTCTCAACATCTAGGTCTTATAGTTCAGAGTATCATAGGAAATTTAGTTTTATATATAAGATTTTATGATTTTCTTTGCTACAATGGATATGGGTCCTTGCATTTTCTTTAAACCACTGGAATGCTTTCTAAGATGCTATCACAAAGCTTGTTTCTGTGCCTATCACAGGTCACTAATTATCATGTTGTAGCTAAACTAGTCACAGATAAAAGTGGGCTTCAGCGTTGTAAGGTTTATTTTGAGCATCTCTCTCTTTTCTTTGAGAAGGTTTTAGTTTGTTATATTAGAGTACGACAATATCAATATTCACTTAATATTCTTGATATGTTCTTTCAGATAGGCTTCTGTGAATCCATTGCTATACTCTTGACAGGTTTTTTTAGTAGATGCTAGTGGCAATGGCATTTCCAAAGAAGCCAAGGTAATTGGTTTTGATCCTGCATACGATCTGGCTGTTTTGAAGGTATTGAATTGAACTTTCTGTCCGTTTTCTTTGGACTTGTTTGTAATCTGTTTATAATTGTGGAATATATATGTTCGCCTCAATGATTAATAGATGGTAGTCTGCTCATAGTGTTGACTTTAGGTCTTCCAGAGTTGCATATTTGTGAATTATTCCTGTTCTCCATTCATTTACATATCTTCTTATTTATACAAGTCAATATGTGTTCAAGGGATTGCTTTATGAAAGGTATTTGTTTCCCTATATTTATGCATGTAAACATTAATGTGATAAGGTTGGCATATGCTTTGGCAGACTTATTAAGAAAAAGGCAGAGTTAATAGATGTTAGATGTAGTGTGGAACTCAATTTTCTATTTACTTATTTTGTTACACCAGTTGAATTGGTTACTCTCCTTTGTGTAAAAGTTCTTCCTTATATCTTATTAGTATTATGCTTTATTGGCAATGATAAAAATTAATAAAAATAAAAAAGGCCATGCAAAGTATTGCTATTATTTCAAAATTTATATTTAAAACAGTTTTTTTATGAATGTATATTTATTTTAAAACAGTATTGTGATAAAACAGTATTCTGATAATAGATTTTTTAACTCTTGCAATGTTCATTTATAAAAATGACAATGCCAGTTTTGCTGCAATCCATAATTTGGATTGATTGCAGAAAAGAGTTTGAACAACATTTCTCCATGGTTTCTGGTTGATAATTAGGCAAGACTAGAGAAGAAGGTTCTCTAACTGGTTCTGAGGAAGGCAAGCCTAGTTAATTTAGAGAAAGGCACCACTAGGATGAATAGGGTGGCTTCATTAAGCTTATACAATGGATGCTGCCCAGGCAATCATGTGATGTCACAGGCTTGGGAAACTCTAATTTTTTCTAATACATAGGTGAATCTTTGTATCATGATAAGATTATTCCTTATTTTATAATTTTGCATGTGCAACAAACACCTTATCATGTCTCAGAAACACCCTTTTAACATATATTGTTGCTAACTAATAGGGTCTTTTCTCTTAGAGCTTTGTATTTAAAGCCTTAAACACCAAAGAAAAGGGAGTGTGCATGCGAGGATATAGAATGATGCATAATATATGAACAAGCAGCATGGTTGCAACTGAGCCAGGATTTTGGAAATCTCCCCCAATCCTATCTGATCTGGGATTCTGGGTTGTGCTCCCATCAAGTTTTTCCCCTTTTATTTTTCTTTGACTTTATGATCATGGATCCTGATATATTTATTTGACTTAAACTTCATAATTCTCTTATTTTTAGTTATTTTCTACTTGTTCCATAAACATAATCATTGATGTCTTCAATTGCATTAATTCTTCATGCTTAAATCTATTGTATTATTGCATAATTTTTATCGTTAATTCATAATCGTATAACTTTTGTGCTTGATGCTGATATTTAATTATGTTGAAGAAAATACTTACGAATGATGAAATCTCTCAGAAATAATGGAAAAGACAAGAATTAGGTAGAAGTGAGGTGATTAGAAAAAGTCAAACCTCTCTTACTAATTAATTACAGACAGAGTTTCACCAAACTGAACTAGAAGCCTTGCAATGCAGTCACATGGGAGAAGAAAGCTCTTGAGTGTCACTTCTGTAATAGAAATATTTCATTTAATTCTAAATAATCAACTTCTTTCAATTACAAAAGGCTCTCCCATATTTATAAACTACTTAAGAGATTGAGATGTACAAACACTTCTCTTAGCCTTTCAAAGTGGGCCTTCAGAATTTTTTCAATGTCCAAGCACTCAATGTATTCAATAGGAAATTAGCTAAGGAGGCGATGTCTTTCTATGGAAATATATGTGCAAATAAGTTGTTGAAAAATAGAATGGATTTCATCTGCTAATTCCAATATTGAATGCAGATTGATGTTGAAGGAAGCAAATTAAAGCCTGCCCTTCTTGGTACATCCCATGATCTCCGTGTGGGCCAGAGCTGCTTTGCTATTGGAAATCCTTATGGATATGAGAACACTCTAACAACAGGGGTAGGTTTTCATGAAATGTAATTGCAGTGTCACCATATTGGTAGCTATAGTCATTTTTATTGGCTTGTTGATCATTAATTGTATTTGTTTTTAAATGTTATTGACCTTGAAAAGAAATTGGCTCAGGCTAAGATGGTTTGGGCATATATTGGTCTTCTCAAAAGTCAAACGAATACCTCTCAGGAATGGCTTTGTCATGGATGAGGTTTCAGTCCCTGTGCCCGATCTAGAGAATTGGTGTGATGATCTGGGTTGGCCATGTGAGAATCCCAGTAGCAGCATATCTTTGCTTACTAGATGATTTGACAATATGCAGGTAGTGAGTGGGTTAGGCAGGGAGATTCCCTCTCCAAATGGAGGGGCCATTCGAGGAGTTATACAAACAGATGCTGCTATTAATGCAGGTAAAGACTCCAAATTTCCCCCTGCAATTATTTGATTTCTTACGGTGTTCGGTGCAATTTTGTTGCACAAAACATTTCTTAGATGCTGCATTATTATGGATCTGACATGATAGATAGAAATCTGTAACAGGAAATTCAGGTGGACCATTGATTGATTCGTATGGTCATGTCATTGGAGTAAATACAGCTACTTTCACTCGCAAAGGTAAGCTCTCTATCTCCTTTATTGTGGCTTAGCAACTGCAGACAGATTCTTTTTACTGTTTATTTGATTTTCTTTCTTATTAGGGAAGTTAAAATTAAGCACATCATTACAAATTAGGAAAAAAGAACAGTTACCAAGTGGGTCCTTTTCACTTTGAATGACTGAGAATCCCATGCAGATGATTATATATATTTTAAATCAGTAGTGTTCTACCGGAAAAGGTTAAAAGGAAGAATCAAAAAGAAATGAAAGGAAATTCAATTTGGATTGCTCTCTGCCTGGTTCAATGGACCAGATAAGCATGCATTACCTTGCAAATTATTTGCTCACCAGAATTCCAACTTCAGTTTGAATTCATCTTATTTTCTGTTGTTACACAGGAACGGGAATATCCTCTGGCGTCAACTTTGCAATACCAATTGACACTGTTGTACGGACTGTTCCTTATCTGATTGTGTATGGAACACCTTACACTGACAGATATTGATCTCCATAGGTGACTAACCAGAGGTTCACTCTGGTACATCATATATGATCTCATTACCATGTTTGGAGATGATAACTATAGATGATTGGACAGTAGGCCTCCATGTAGTGGTCTAGACCTTAAGAGTTCTGATTATTATTGTAATAGATGTAACCATATATTCCTATAACAAGAAAAATTTTTATTGTTGCACCCTCTATTTTAGGTTTTGTGCTTCTGAATGATGCTCTCATTTCATCTAGTTATCTCATGGCATTTTCTTTAACTTCTTTCTCATTTCTATGTGGTCGGTGGGGAATGTTCAGTGGAAATTGTTATCTTTAACATCAAAAAAATAATTGATTACCGAGGTCATTTATTTAATGGAAATATGAAACATTACTTAAATTACCCTTTTTCTTGAGGCTTCCCTATATTCCTACAACAGTTTCTTGATCTGGCCAAGTATTGTTGAAAGTGGCATTTGTTGGTCTCTTGACTAGGCAGTTAGCATCCATTCTCTGGGATGTTCCTTGTGTTCTGGAATTTAATGTTGCCAAAATTACTCAGTAGCACACAAGGTGATAGCAACCTTCAATGAGTTGATTGACAGACGCTCTGGATGGTGTTGCATTTGTAAACTTTAGGCCCCATTTGGTTTGCGGGAATAGGGGTCTGGAATCAGAATCGGAATGGGTTATTCTGATTCCAACTATTTGGTTGGGCAGAATTGGAATCACATTCCCATTTCTTGTGTAATAGCCTCCCTCCATTTGAGGGAATCTCCCCCTCCCTTGATAATGAAATCATATTCCTGCTGATTCCAATTCCCATTCCTATTCCTATCTGAACCATTAGATCATTTCGATTTCAATTCTAAAGGATTTTGATCCCGATTCTAATTGTGAACCAAACAGACCCTTAATTCCTTTCTGGAAGCAATCTGTGAACTCATTTCCAGCATTCGATCATGTGAATATCGTCCAATTTGTAAATATGCCACATCTGTGAGTCCTCTTATAGCTCTGCATATGGTTCTGGTCAAACTAGAGATTCAGATTGGACATACAACTGTTTTGGTCGCTGGTCATGGATCAAAACAGTTCAATTCAACTATTTCATTCATTCAACAAAAATCTAAATAAAAGTAAAAAATAGAAAAATTATAAAATGGTTCCAGATTTTCTTTTAAAGCTATTCTAAACAAAATAAACATAAAATGGTAAATCTTAGAGGTTACAACACCTATTAAAACATGATTTTGAGCCAAATTTGACCAAGTCAACATTTCTAAGAACTATGCAATCCAAAATTTGTTTAGACTACCGGTTACTAGTTCTGATTGCCAGACCATCCAGAATCGGAGTCTGATAATACCTGTTTTCATTGATAGAGGTTTCTTTAATCTTCTGTCGTATATTCTCTGCAGGGATCAGGGAGAGCCTCTTCGATAACATATTCTTATATTGGGAAGTCAAGCCGTCAAGGAAACTTATATATCATGTTGGAATTTCATGTAGAAAGTTAGGACTAATATATAGTATTCTCAATTTGATGGGTCATTGTGTAAATGCTAGTTAGTGCTGTCAATGGGTCGGGTCTGGTCAGGGTAGACCCGGTCTCAAAACAACCTAATATGTGTTTATGGCTCCATTGGGAAGAGTGTAAACACCAACACAATGCATATATGCACTTTGGTGTTTGGGAAGTATGGATGTGTGTATTGAAAATGACAAGGAAGACGAATTTCAAGACAGGTTTGCATCCAAAAATGATAGCGAAGTTTGCATCGCATTCAAAGTTGGTCAATGTAAAGAAGGGGGATTCTGGTTTCGGGTTTCATGTTTGCCCTTATCACAACCCAAAATCATTCCAATCTGGCATTCAAAGCCTTGTATTTTGTATTTCTCAACCTGCATTCTACATATTTGTATTTGTATCACTCTTTCCAAATTTAACCTTTGGTTCAATTTGGTTTGGCAGTCTAGAGTGTAAATATGAACACCCCTACACATGGTCTACTTAGGTATTCATTGATTCATGCTTTATAGGATGTACTTAACAATTAAGTTAAGGGTTAAGTACACTGCAACCCAATGCAGAATTCTGAATGATAGCCTCCCATAGTAAAAACTAGTAGCTGGGGGTGTCAATGGACAGGTTTTGGGTTGGATTCCGTCCAAATTAAAATCCATTTGGACGGATTGGATGGATCAATAAGACATATTGAATTTGGACGGACTGGACGGACCAATATGACATATTGGATTGGACCTGATCCGTCCATAATGAATTTATATTGGATTAAGCCAATATCTGGTCCATTGATAGAAGATAAAACATAGGTGTCAATGGACCAAGTTTGAGTTGAAACCAATCTAAATTAACAGGAATTTGAACAGATTGGACAGTCTCTGGACCAATCCAAAATGGTCCAAAATATTCATTGGACTGGATTGGATCTGATCCATTTGTAATGGACTCATATTGGACTGGATCAGATTGGACCAAATCCAGTCCAATTGACACCCTAATAAATTGCATCATCCCCGTGAATTTAGCATCAATTTACGACCACGATTCATCCCCTTGTAAGGTGGGGCTAGAAAAATAGAGGAAGCATAAAAACACAAGACATTAATTAAATACTGAAATGGTTTAATATGGTTTGATGTAATGTAGGTTTTTGATTGATCAAATTACACACAATAAATTAAATCAAAGAAGTGATAATCAACTCAGCAATCTATATAACTTAACAAAATTAATGCAAACAAATATTACATTTGGCAACGAATTGAAATTGATCCCTCAATGAGCTAGCTAGACATTGAGTTGTCTTCTTGACTGAGTAAAAATGCTTAGCGAGTAGGTTGAAAGCATCATGTCAAGCAAGATGGGGAGTTGGCGCAGAGAAAGTATGGCAATTGGGAGAATAGCTAGAGATGCAGGAGGAATCATAGCCCACTTGATTTCGTCTCGGAGCACCATGAGTAGGGTGCTAACAAAAGTAGTCATCATGGCTGCAATAGAGATGAAAAGGAATAGAAGGCCGATGCACAACATCCAGGGTAGGGTGTCTAAGAAATCTACTTCTGTGAAGCGGGACATATAAATGGAGAGGAAGGCAATCATGGAAGCAGAGGAGAAGAGAAGCGATACCATGTTTGATACGACGAAGTAGTAGAAGATTTTGTGTTGGATGAAAATGGTGATGCCGGTGTCGTTTTTAGTTGCACCGGGCAATGACAGAGTTGCTGAAAGCATAACTGAAGCCACTAGCGCGGCCACCACCATACACGCATCCACGGTTCTCTTCATCCATTCCTCTCCGTCTTTGAACAATTCATGGTGCGTTTCATTGAATAACATCTTTGGTGTTTTGTTGTCTCGGTTAACTTCTATGTGGCTGTTGGGTGGGAGAATGCCTTGCACTTTCTGTGATCGATCATGAGAGAGAGAGAGAGAGAGACCGTGACCGGCAGAGTATGACCGACGAAGTAATATATATAAGAAGTAGGAAATAATTAAAAGAAAGAAAACTCAAAACTCACCATGAACCAGATGAGTTCATTCCGCAGCTGAAGAGCTGCACCAGAGATCTGATTAAGTCTATCCTTGGGTGGCAACATTGCTACAAGATGTAATGTGTTGTTTGATTGGTTTTCCTTGTAAGCATAAATTATGCTGAGTGGCACTTGGAGATCAAGGATGAGCTTGAATATTCTATCTTGGCGGTTGAGAATTGCAGCATGAAACAGGGTCATGTGTTGCTCGTTCTTGAGTCGTGCTAGCTGGGGACAATATCTCAGAATCTCAGCAATGAAGTCGACATTCCCCTTCTCCACCGCCAGGAAAAGCGCTTTGGTCATTAATGCTTTCATTTCTCTGTGCTTCTTGCCCTCATTATTAACATCAATCACCATTTCAGTTGCAACTCTTTGACATATTAGTCGTAGTAGATTAAAGGCACTTCCAGGCATCAACCTCAATCGTTTCATTTGCATGGCAGATTTGAGTGGCACTGGGACAAAAGGATTAGCTATATATAGCAAGGTAAACTCATCAAGTTAGTTAATTACAAAGCTTTTCGATCGCTTCAGGAGTTCAGACAGACAGACAGAAAGAGAGAGAAGCAAACTAACCTTGACGATCAGCATTATCTGGATTCTCCACATCTCGTTTGCGAGAAGAAGAGAGTCTTGATTTAATATCTTGAATGCCTTGAAAAGATAAATAAGAAAAACCCTAGTTGTAGATCAATCTTGTGCATGCAATGGAGTATTAGACAAAGGAATTACTGATGATCTCTGTAATTTTAATTATATGCATTAATTTAGCCAACATATATATGGTTCTCATTACTTAATTTCTTTGCATGCAGCATTTAATCTAACCAACCAATCAGTCACAGTATAATTAATTCTTTTGATCGATCCTACAAGCACCTGAGCTACATGGTTTCCCAGTCTAGTGGGGAACAAATGATTATTGATTTAATACCAGAACCAGATCTGACCATCGTCGATCTATGAAGATTTCTACCAACCCCAATACTCAATTATCTCAAACTTAATTACCAATCTTTTGACCACACCACAGCTACCAGCCATCAATATTTCTCAGTTTATTTTTCAGTTCAGTCCACCCCTAGAAATCTAGAGCTCCACTCTAGGGGGTGGACTGAATCCTGACCGTGGATTGATACCAAATCCATGGGCATGATGTTGTTTATAGGGGGGGGCTACTAGTAGACTAAGAGGGAGTCTGAGGGGGATTGTAGTCCAAAAATCCCTTTGGATTAATGGACTGGTATCCAATTTAATGTCTTATACCCTTATTGGATGACCATCCAACCTGTTCAAATTTGTTTTAATTCCATCAGATAGTGTGCAACTCAAACAATTGGTCCATTAATGACACCCCTAATCTTATATTTCTGTCAATGTTGGATATTTCTTCAACTAGACCTAGTCCAATATAAATCTATTACCATGGACCAGGTCCAATCCAATTCAATAAATAAGTCTGGACGGATCCAATTTAATATATTTTAATTTATTTTATTTTATTGGACTGTCCAATGTAACCTATTTTTTGATTCAGAGGGGTCCAACTCAAACCCAGTCCATTGACACCCTTAGCTAGGTGGAGAAATAGAGATGAATTAAAGAGAGACTGACTATGTCACAAGTAGGAAGTAGGAAGCTAGATGCTTACCTGTGGAGATAGGCGTTATAATGGCTTTCCACCAGTTTTTATTTTCATCAGAAGTACATTCAATTAGTGCAGTTATGGCCGTTTCCCCATATGCATCCTCCACCAAGAGCAAATCCGGGAAGGACTTGAGTAGATCCAAAGCCAGATCTGCTAGTATGAATATGGAAACAATTAATATGTGAAAATAAAGAAAGAATGGATGAATGAAAGAAATTAAAGGCTCCAATCAGATCCAGTCCAATGTGAGTTCATTTACAAATGGACCAGGTCCAATATTGCAAATGAATATTTTAATTAAGACCATTTTGGACTGGTCCAATTCAGTGTCTATTGGACTATTCAATCTATTCAAATTTGTTTTAATTTAGATTAATTCTAACCCGAACCTGATCCATTGACACCTATGTTCTTAATTATCTTCTATCAATAGACTAGATCTTGGCTCAATCAAACCCAGTTCCATATAATTACATTCATTGCAGATGGACCATATCCTATCCAATCCAATAAATGCTTTTCTGGACTACTGGTCCAATATAATTCAATGTCTTGTTGGTTCGTCCAATGACACCCCAATTCATATCTAATTGATTATATATAATTTTCTTACCAAAGAAGCGGCCATGAATAAAATTACAAAGAATATTAGCCCAAAACTTTTTGCGATCTGTGGTTTCATGATATTTAGCAGAAGTCTTTTCCTCTTCAAGATCGGCATGGTAAAGATATTTGACAACTTCCTTTTGGCGGTTCCTGATGGCGAGGTGGAGGGATGTGGAATGATGAGCTTGCATCAGCAGCAGGCGCCTCTCCTTCTCTACCAAGGCCTTTACAACCTTCAAGTGCCCACTGGAGGCTGCCAGGTGAAGTGCTGTTCTCAAATCTCCATTCCTTGTCATTATCTCTTCACTGCTCATCCTGCCTAGTAGCAGCTTTACAATTTTCAGTTTCCCTGCTCTCGCTGCGACGTGAAGAGGAAAATCGTAGCATACTGTAATTCTGCATGCAACCACCCCTTCATTTTCCTTGAGGAAACTCTCAACTTTTTTATGTTTACCGCCTACAATGTTATTGTAGAATTCTTGACACCATGTGTACGTAGTCATTTTCTGCAACTCTGGTATGGCTGTGGCAATAGAAATCACCTCATCAATTATGTAAGTTTTCTATACATACATACATACAACATTTTCATTTGCGTTTCTGGAATCGCACATCAACAAATAAAACAAAAGGCGGCTTAAGCCTTTTTAAATCTCTCCATTTGTGCCTCACCACTCAAGGTGCAGACTTGAGCCTTTTAAAACAATGTCTGGGCCGGGTAAACTAGGTGGCAGATCCAAGCGGTCCATAACTCTTCCCCATGGATGCTTGGTTGAGAACAGGCAAGAGATTTATTGAGACCACATCTGGTAATGAGCACACTGAATAATTAAGTACATTATCAGAATGTTAAAACCTATTAGATAATGCATTGATTGAATATGATAATTACATAATGTTTATAGATTAAAATAGATCAAACCTATTCAAACTCAAATTCAAGCTCTTAGACTCTATCTAAGGATCTATATAATCTATCTCAATCCATCTCAAACTCTATCATAACATAACTAACTCAACCCATATCCTTAATAAAACCTGTCCCTGAAAAACTTCCCAGCCTACTTTATACACATTAATTTATGGAACATGTGTCACCAAAATGATATTAGGAGCCTATTCAGTGTGTATATCAAGGAGGTGTTTGGTTTTATTGGGTTTTTCCCATTGTAATTTTTCAAAAAATGGTATTGTATTTCTTGTGATTTTTGAGAAAACGTTTTGTGCATGGTGTTGTTTGGGTTCCATTGTAGTTTTGACATAGGAGGCCATGCCAACCACCACATCAGAAAACACCTTAATTTGAGAGAAAAAAAATGTTAAAAATAACAATTTTTTAGATGGGTCATTTTTGGAGAAAACTACATAATCTTTTTTTTTCCCATTTGTTTAGAAAACGACTAACCAAACAGAATATGCCTATGCATTTTTTTGTTATTTTCTCAAAATCTAGTGTGGCTCCAATGTGGCGTCGTTTTTTTTCAAAAAATGGAAATGGAGCCAAAAACCATCCAAGAATTAGGTGGTGTTTTGGTTTCATGGTCAGTTTTTAAGAAAACAGCACCATGCACATAGAAATCACATAAGATATTCTAAGAAAACGAAAAAAAAAAGATGCATCAGTATATACTGTTTTGTTGGTTGTTTTCTCAAATAAAGTCAAAAAAAAAAACGCTTCACTGTTTTTAAATCAGACAATGAACTTGTGCTACTATAAAGGAGGGACTGTTCCTTTTCACAATGTATACACATGGATTGACTATTTGGGGGTTACCTGCACATGACACGTGACCCATTCAAGTATAAGCGGTGTTTTCAAATTTAAGGGAGAAAATTAGGATATTCGTTTATTAAGAACATCTTTCTATAAATAACAAATACAAGTATGAGAGATATTCCTTATGGGAGAATGGATTGTGGGGCGCATTCTGTGTGAGGAGCCCATCAGGATTTATGTACCCCAAAGCTTAAAACAATACAGGCTGTTTTTTTCCAAGCAACCAAAGTTTTTTTTTATGAGACGTAGCCTTGTTATATATCCATCATGAAAGAGTATTTCTTGTTTAATTTATCTGTCCATAGGGTTGTCAATGGACCGGTTTTTTGTTGAACTCTGTTCAAATCAAAGTCCATTTGAATGGATTGGATGAACCAACAAGACATATTGAATTTGGACGGACCAATATGACATATTGGGTTAGACCTGGTCCATCCATAATGAATTTATATTGGATCGAGCCAATATCTGATCCATTGATAGAAGATAAGAACATAGGTGTGAATGGACTAGGTTTAAGTTGAAACCAATCTGAATCAACATGAATTTAAACAGATTGGACAATCTCTGGACCGGTCCATAATGATCCAAAATATTCATTGGACTGGACCAAATTGGACCAAATCCAGTCCAATTGTCACCCCTATCTATCCATCGTAAATTTAAAAAAAAAAGAAAAAAAAAAGAGCACATTTTTCTTTCATAAAAGTAGGAGAAGTTCTTTTTGATCCATATACCTTCCTCAGGGTGGTGAAAGATAACATCCAATTGACGCCAGACAATTTTGGCTGGGTACAAATCTTTAATAAAAGACTGGATCATTCCATTGCAGTGTTGATAGATTATAGAGATAGCTTCATCGTTTTTCTTTTTCATCGTGGATTCATTCAGAGCCATTAAATCACCTTCTGAAACTTGTTGATTCATAGATACCTCCATCCCTTGTTCCTCCAAGTATTTTATCATCGCGGTTTTCCAACTTAAATAGTTTGTATTTCTTGCTTCACCTAGAACATCAAGATGTGCACCTGAAATAATGAAAAAACAAATATTTAGTCAGCTCAAGTAGTAGAAGATTATGCTGTTTGATGTGATTTGCTTCTACCAGGTATTGACCACTCCCTACCAAGGTTTTTAAAATCCGACCGGACAGGGGACCATTCTTGGACCGGTTCTTGGGTCAAAGGTCTGATCGTCTAGTCTGAATAGACCACCCATTCTGATAAAAAATTAAAAAATTATAAAAATAAAAAAGGCCAAAAATCATTGTCAGGGTTGATGATTTGGTGGTTCGATCGTTCAAATCAATGTTTCGCTAATCAAATCAACATTTTTTTGGCCAAAAAACAGTTTTGGGGTGAAACGAAACCATTCAAGTGACTGATTCCTCGTTTTTCCAGTCTGACCATCCGATATAATCCGGTTTTGAAAACACTTCTCCCTACTACACTAGTATGGGCAATTAGACCATTATTTTATTTGAGATTCACTGCTTAAGTGATAAATTTGATTTAGGTCATTTAATTGAAAAAAAAAATAGATCAGATTTAATTTGTAATTGATGACTTATTTCATATGTAAAAATCCACACCACAAAAATCTTTATCACTTTATGGCGGGTTTAAATTTTCTGCACTTCGAGACAATTTGAACATCCATCTGTCGTCCAAAGATTGTAAGCTTATATTCATGAGTTGTTGATTATCTTGTATATGAATCTGTTGTATCTTTATCCTTTTACGTTACACTCACATGTAATTCACCAACTGCTTTTAAAATTACAACTTCATATTGGATCTCCTATTACTTTGAGGGACCTATTCATACTTTTGACGACAAATTCATATTGCTCGATGTTATAGTATTGTGCCTTAATTTTTTGTTGCGATCCGCTCTATAAATTTGGTTGTAATTAAGTTGAAAAAAAAGTATCAAGGCAAAATTTTGTAGTGATTTGGAGTGGAAGCATAGGACAAAGTTACATATTCAACATATGGGTTTGACCCAAATACGAAAAGTTATGTATTTTAGAGGTTTTCTCTCTTATATATTAATCCTTCAGCTTGTGAGAGAAATCAAGCGACTTTAGGTTTTCTCTCTACATTCTGAAGATGTAAAATCTTCTAGCAAAGACTTATTCAAGGGACGGGTTAGGTTCCGGTCAGGCTTTGTTTATGTATCAATAGAATACATTTAGTCTTGAGCCTGATCCCAGCCTGACCATAGGTTTAGGTCTTGAGCCCTCCCCCAGCCCTCATATAACGCCTGAAGCTCGGGCCCAAGCCCAAGCCTGGCCAGAAATTTGAAAACAGAAATTTTTTCTTTTTTTATTCAATAAAAATTGTTTTATTTATATTATAAAGGGAAAACTCCCAATTAGTACCTTGTACTTTGGTTTTAGTGCCACTTTGGTCATTGAACTTTAAAACACGATAATTCAGTACCCAAACTTTCAAAACATGCCAATCCAGTACTTCTTGTTAACCAGCTTTTAAGTGGCATTTGAAAAGACACAAATGCCTTTCGAATGTCATCTAATTTTTTTTATCAACCATCCAAACATTGATAAAAAATGAACAGTCACAAATCCTTACCTCTTCTATTCAAGAAAGTTGGGGTCACTAGAATGCCCACTGGGACGTGACCCCAACTTTCTTGAATAGAAGAGGCAAAGATTTGGGGCTGGTTTTTTTGTCAATGTTTGGATGGTTGATAAAGAGAATTAGATGACACTTGAAGGGTATTTGTGTCTTTTCAAATTCCACTTAACGGTTGTTTAATGAACTGGTTAACGATAGGTACTGGATTGAGACGTTTTGAAAGTTTGGATATTGAATTGCCTCATTTTAAAGTTCAGGGACCAAAGTGGCAATAGGCCCAAAGTACAAGGTACTAATCGGGAGAAGAGGAACAAATAAAAAATACTGTATATATATATATTATTAAATAAAATATGCTTTTTATTATTTAATATATAGTTTCAAATCAAGCTCGGGCTCAAGCGAGGCTTTTTTGAGAAAGCTCGAGCGCGGCCTGAAAAAGGTTGGGCCTGACGTTTTAGGCCTAAGCCCAAGCCCGCATGCCTAAAATTATGACCAAACCCGACTTAGAACGGATCAGGCCGGGCCAGCCTGTCGGGCTACTTGGCCCATGAACAGGTCTATTCTAGCACACTACACCTTTCATATGGTATGTTTTTACTCACTCCTTAAGCTACCAAGCCTTCTCTAACATTTCCGAATAAAACTCCTAAATTTTCCAAGGCACCTTCATTTTCTAAATACCCTTCCACATCTTCTCCCTTGTATTCTGAGAACATAATTCTTCCCTAGCTGTTTCACTTCAAGCTAGTTGAAGCATAGGACAAATTTACATATTCAATTTATGGGTTTGACCCAAATACGAAAAATTATGTATTTTAGTGGTTTTTCTCTCTTGTATATTAATCCTCGGATTGTGAGAGAAATCAAGCGATTTTTGGTGTATTTGGGGTTTAGGATTTTCTGTGAGTGAGATTGTGAATGCACAACTCTACATTCTTTCTCATTGCTAATTTCATAGTGGATTTCTACTCCTTTGCCTGTGGACATAGGTTATAAGTTGAACACGTAAATCTGTGTTCTCTCTGTTTATTTCTTTTTGTCAAAGTTTTTCTTTCATTTTTGGGTGCCAACCAAATCTGTATTTTTGGATTTTATTTTAAACAATAAACAACACTCAACATTCAACATCTTCACTAGATAAGAACTAAGCTTGTTATTCTCTAGTGATCACCAAGATCTTTCCCAAAAATTTTAAACTGAATCGGACAACAAACCGATTAGGGGTCGAACAGTCTGACCATTCGAACCAAATTGATGGCCTGTTCTGACAAAAAAATAAAAAAATAAAAAAAATAAAAATCGGCCAAACCGTTGAAGACTTCTCCTCCAAACAACACCTTTATTTTCATGAGTTATAGACCTATTTGAAGGCTTCTCCATCCCCATGATGGGATGTTGCCCATTTTAGTTGTAAGAATATAATCCGTAGGGAAGTGCAATGCTTTTCATTAGTAGTGTCCATAGAGAGTTGGGGTTCTTCGACAAAGTGCAGGATGTCTAATTCATTAAAACCTAGACCACCTCTAAATTTTGTTGCACACGTCTTCCTCCAGCTTACCCATTAAAGTCTTCCCTCTTCCTCTTTTGACCCAAAATAAAGTTCACATTTCTAGAGTTATTCTTCTAGCATAATTCTTAGGAAGACAGAAGTGGTTCATCATGTATGTAGGAATTGCAGATACCATCGATTTCACCAATACATCATGACTTGTTCAATTCAAAGTGAGACGTTTTCACCATCTCATCTTTGTATAGCTTTGTCTCTAATATAGGTAAAGACTCCGACCTTGCCCGATTATTGAAGGAACTCCCAAATATTTACTCAGCTTCTTGTCTTCTAGAATCTAGAACATGTGCAAGATGATCTTCCTAAACTTCATTGGAATGTTTGCACTAAAGGTAATTCATGAGGCCCATATGTGTGTCTTGGAATGAACTAGAGAGCTCCCCGTTGATCTAAATTAGCCTAACAGTTAATTTGACAAATTGGAGCCATGTAAGCCACAGTCAAATAAGGATGCGCTATCGAGAACCTCGAGTCAGCCCCAATAGTTGTCATCTAGTAGGACTAGGACTCCATGGCAAGTACAAAATACCCTCTATATACAAGTATGGCATCCCTAGAAAAAAGTATGCACAATAGAACATTCTCCAGACTTGCTTTCTTCTTTCTTACCTTCCTCACCAACTAGCCTCCTCTACTCGGTCCAGTGATTTTTAGCTCAAATATTGGCTTAAGCACAAGAGAGTTCTCCTTCAAGGACATACCTCGGGACTTTCTGCCTTTCTATAGGTCTTCAAGCCTAAAAACTACCGATTTTCATTCACTAAAACCCTCACCTTTATCTTTCACACTACAATCATCTTCTTTATCTCATTTTCCACCACTACAATCACCTTACCTTATTCTCTTCCTCCATCCACTCATGTCGTAAACTTACACGATGATACTGACTTTCCTATAGTGCTCATAGCCTCTCACCAACTAGAAGATGGCACTACATTCCTCACTAAAGGCACATTAGATATTAACTTAGGTACTCAAGATAACCCATACATTGTTAAAATAGGAGCTTGTCTTACAGAATCTGAATTATAAGTATATTTTTGCATGGTCTTATACTAACATGCCTAGCTTAGATATCCCTCTTTAGTTGTCCATTGCCTTGGCATACCTCCTAGCACCCCACCTATCACCTAGAAGCTATGTTGAATTTATGCATCTAAGGCATAGTCACAAAAGTTAAAGTTGATCTTAAAAAACTAGCTAATAAAAGTTTCATTTCCCCCACTACTTATATTAGTTGGGTCCATAACGAAGTTCTTAGTGCAAAGAAAGATGGCTCCATTCATATTTGTGTACATTACTACGACTTTAATCGTACATGTCCCAAAGATAACTTTCCTCTTCCAAATATTGGCTTGTTAGCAGATAGTGCAGCTAGCCATGAAATGTTATACCTTACGGATGGCTTCTCTGGTTATAACCAAATTAACCTAGCCAAAGAAAACCAAGACCATACAACCTTTATAACCCCATGGGCACCCATCATTATGATGATGATGTAATGCCCTTTGGTCGCAAAAGTACAAGGATCACTTCCCTACGTACCATGACCACCATTTTCTATGATCTCATGCATGAAGTTTTAGAAGATTATAGTGATGAAATCCTAGCTAAATCCAAAACTCAAGATTCCCATCTTTGTCCTCAAAAAACTATTTGCTCACCTACGCAATTACAAGCTTTATTTCAAGCCCCAAACGTGCATTTTTGGTGTTACCTCTAGTAAAATTTTAAGATTTATAGTGAGTCATTGGGGAATTAAAGTACATCCTTTCAAAATCAAAGCAATCCAAGATATGACACCACATAGAATGGTTAGTGAGGTATATACATCCATTCATAGATTTATTCTGCATCA